CGGCATTTTGGTTCGCCGCCCCCCGCACTTCTCCAGGCGGGCGATCAGCGCCCTCACCGGCCCCCGCAAGGCAGAGCGGTTGACTCGAGACGGCCGCGGTCGCATTGTTTCCTCCGGACCCGCCCCGTCTGGGAGGTCGCACGGCCTGCAGCATTTGGGGGCGCAACTTTGGTGGACCGGCGTTTGGCAAACGGGTTTTCGCGCGTGCCGCGGCGCCGCGGTGCTCGAGTGGAGGAGGCTGCCGCTTCCGCCGCCCCCGGGCGCGACGCTGCCGGACTCAGTGCGGGTCGATGGGTGGGCCCCGCACGACGCGCAGGTTGGCGAGACAACACATCGCCCCATCGTTTTTCGCGGACCCCGCCCGGCAGCGCGGCCGGAAGGAGGCAGATTGGGCTGCGCATGGGCGCTGTGTTAGGAAGTATTCGCGCGCAGACGCGGGGGAAATACGTGCCACCCGCCGCCGCATCAAATGAATCAAGCGCGTCCGGGTCTCCATCTGGAAAAGAGCAGCGCCCCGCAAGAGACGCAGGGACGACGGCCGGGCGGATCGCCGGGAACCCCCGCGCATTCGGCAGACGGATCGCTCATTCGTAAATATCCACGGCGGCATTCGGCAGTTTGCAGCCGTAGTCCGCGGAGCAGTGAAGCGCACTGTGCCGCATGCGGTGGCCAAAGGCCCGCCGCTCCGGACGCCGAAACGGACCGCATCGGAGGGGCGCGGGAACTTGCCGCTTCGCCGCCCCGCGCAGCAGCGACGAACGCATCTCTGCAATGTCGCGGTCGCCCACTGGAAGGAGCGGTGCTCCCGACCGGTGCCGGGGGAGGCGGCAAGCTGCAGCCGCGCCAGGGCAGTCTACGCCCCGCGCCCCGCCAGTTCGCCGGTTGCAGCGGTGGATGGCCGACCGACCGCCACAAAGGAGCGCGCCGGCACCTTGGCGCGAGTGTGCGCCGCCACGTCTGATTTCTCTTTGGGGAGCTTGACGCTGCATCGCGGGAGATGCGTCTCCGGAGTGCGCCGGGCCTGGCGCGCTTCACTGCGAGGCCCTGCACCAACTGCCCCCCGCCGCCTGCAAGGAACTCGCGGCCGCGTTCAACAGGAGCATCGGCGACGGTGGCGCTCCGGCTTCCCGGGAAGTGGGCATTGTGATTGTCCCACTCCTCAAGCCTGGGAAGCTGGGCAAATGCTTCCCGCCTCGCTTCGGCCTGTCGCCCTCGCCAGCTGCCCGCGTAAGCTCGTGGAAGGAATTGCGGCGCGACGCATCCGCGGCACAGTTGAAGCCCAACTTCCTCCCAGCAAGCTGGTTTTCGCCCTGGTCGCTCCACACTGGATCCGTTAGCTCGCCTGTTTGCTCAGACCATTTCACCGTGGCAAGCGGGGAAGGTCGGTGCGGTGCTGGTGGGCCACGCTGGGGCCTTCGGCTCGGTTGATGACGGCCGCATCCTTCACGCACTCCGCGCGCACAAGGTGGTGCCGTGCCTGAGCCGGTGGGTGGCGGAGTTCCTTTCCCTGCTGCACGGCCAAAAGCCGCGTGTACAAAATGCGCTCTCCGCACCGGTTCATTTCACCCGTGGCGTCCCGCAGGGTTCCGTGCTCGGCCCGCCGCCGCCCACCGTTGCCGCGAACAGCCTCAGTGAGGAGCTGATGAGCATCCCCAACCCTGAACTTGCTTTCTCCACTGATGACCTGACCGCCACCACTCGTGCCACCGAGAGAGGGAGAAGCGCTATGGAGTGCACCTTGCGGCAGGCGTTGGGTTGCGCCAAGATGGGTGGAGCGGAACAAACACGGAGACCAGCGCCGCGAAGACGAAGTGCGCGCTGTTTTGGCACCGCCCTCACGGACAGCCTGCGGCCACACGCGGGTGGGGCCCGCTTGTCGGAGAATTGCCTCCCGCGGTTGTTGGGGCGGTTTTGACCCAGCCATTGCGCGGGGTTGGCCGGCAGGCGCGGGGGTACTTCGCCGTCGCAAAAACAGACTTATG